GGGGGGGTCACATGCAGCCATAATCCAGATCATCAGAGGATTGTACATCATCTCATTTCAAACCAACTATTTCATTGTGAAGGCAGCTTGTTTACATTTAGATATACATCAGAAACATGTGTTTGTTGCTGTAGTACTTTTGAATCAAGTCCATTTTCTTGCAATTAGAGTTAAATTACAATTGGATTGAATTCTTCTTCTTATTCTTTCTGGTTTATTAACAGATATCAGCTCTAATTGTGCACGTTAGAGTTTTGTAATCCTTATTGCTTTTAATCTCGGCTCCCATATGACCGTGATCGACAGTTGGAAAGGTTTAATATAGCCTCTGCTTACTAGTTAGGGTTAAACTATGTTAAACTAAAAACAGTATTGCAGCCAAGAGGCTTTAGGGCAGTATGCTTTTAGCCATTTGTACGCAATGTATTACTCATACTCATTAAAGCATCAAAATTCATTAACGTTTCATTATTTATGTCTGCAATAATCACCTCTGGAGCCTGTAACCTTGAACGGAGCAGTTATAACATACAGCATGTTAAACACTTCTGAACTTCTTCCATTAGTTGAGTGAAGTTGTTAAGAACAACTATAATCTCCATACTGGGGTTTCTGCCTTTATAAATACATAATATGAAAAGACAGAGGATCACCAACATCATCAGGGTTCAGCCTCTGGGGAGCATGAATGTCAGAGCTATCTAGTTAACACTTAAGTTGATATTTCACTCGGTGTTGGACCAAAGACTGGTGACTAACAATGCCAGCGCAGAGGCTAATGCCAGCTAATGTGGCTAAAAAATATGTATTGATGAATTGTGAATAACAATCTTGGCTAACAGCACAACAGACTGATCTGCATGGGTTCAGGCTGTGTGTAAACCTGGTTGCATACTCCACGATGACGGAGAAAAGACAGCTGAATGACTATACTTTGTTTTAATGAATATAAAAAGACATTTACACAATAGTGAACAAGTGAGAACATTGAGTCCACAAACATGACATCCTATTCCAGTGTCCCAACAATCATCTCCTCAATTAAATAATCTCTTGTAAACATATTACATCTGTAGGCTATTCTCTAGAAGCCATTATTCTATAGAGACAGACACTGATTTCAAATTAAGTGCGTGCTATTAAGAAAGTTCAAATAAGAAGGGGAAAAACGTTTTGATTGGCCATAACTGACAAAAATAATGATCATTAGCAGGATCACCTTATTTTAAAATTGGACCTTGTCCAGAATGAAAAGGGACAGGAAACCAAAAGATGCTTTCATTTGTTTTAAATCTAAATAAGAAATAAAAGTCTGGCACAAAGCAGAAGACTTGAGGAAGATGGCAGCTTCAGGCTGATGGCTCCTGCAGCAGCTGCACTCCCTACAGACTACAGCACAGTTCTAGCCAGAAGAAACACTCAGTGACGTCACAGCACAAGTTCAATCACAACTTGTCCTTGATTAATGAGAAGCGCTGCTACTAATGGTGTTCGATTGTGCTCTTACAACATCACGAGTACTGTTATCAACTACGGCTGATGGTCTCAACCCTCAGGCTGAAGATATCTTCCAGACGAGAGGCGGCTGAAGACGCGTCACTACCTGGACCTGCGGTCTTTTCTGTTTTTGTCTAGACTTTTGTCCATGGTCTTTTCATTGTCGCCTCTGCATTTAGGGCAGTACCACTTGCCCTTGGGCTTGTAGGTCAGGCCCACGCAGGAGAAGTGGAACCACTCGATGGGGCACTGGTCATTGTCGCAGCCGATCATCTCGCCGTACGATACCTGCTCGCAGAGGCAGTAGGTGGGCTCGTTGGGGTCGATGGCGAAGTCGACCGGTGAGGCGTCCCGCTCCTGTTTGGCCTTACGCTTTTTCTTCTTCGCGGACTTGGACTTCTTCTCTCGGGGCGGAGCGATGGACAGCTCCTCCACTGGGTCGTCCACCAGGGAGCCGTTGGCCGACGGGTGGCTGGAGTCGCGGCTCTCGCTGTTGCGCTGGCGTCGCGGGCGACGGGCCGAGGTGCGTTCGGGCGCAGGGGAGTCTTGGACGCTGGCACGGCGCTCTGTCGTGAGCCGCTCGGGCTCGCTGGGCTCCTGGAGGCAGAGGGAGTGCGAGTCCATCTGGCGGGAGCGGTTCTCCACAAGCTCCGTCATCTGGGTGACCACGTGGATCTTCTCGTCGCCCAGCTCCTGGCTGACGATGAGCGCCCTCTGCAGCTGGATCTGCAGGCGTTTTCTCTGAGCTGCATCCTGCTCACATTTGTACTTATCAAACACTTCATCCACCTCCTTCAGCACCTCTGCAAAGTAGGATGCAAAGACATGGATTTTACTAACTAATGACACAGGAGATAAATCACCAATTAAAAAATATTTATAACAACATATACAATAAGAAATCTGTTATTGTTCCTTGACAGAATTATGTGTGCGTTCATCTAATGAAAGGGAGAGGTTCTCTGTGCTCCGTTTGGATGTGCCAGCAGGAGTTTATGACCTTTTCAAGTCCAGGATGCAACTGACTGTTAAAATGGGCATTGAGGAAGACTATCCAGAGGGGGACAGTAACGCAACGTTATCGATGCCAACTGCTTTAAACCTCCGAGGAGGAGGGCTGAGCCGCAGTGAGTTCCTGCCTACAGGAAGTGACGTCAGGAAGCTGTGGAGAGGGGTTGCCTAGAGGAGCAACTATCCGGCTCTGCGACTCTCACTCGACGGAGCGGAGGGGAGGTGCAGACGCTGTAGCAGCACTTGAAGATGCTGAATCTCGCTTCAAAATGTCCAAATGCAATGCGTCCTCCATGCTATCGGTATCTGTCTTAGAACCTATTGGTAACGAAGGCTAGTTGTTAGCCGCTGCTAACCCTGCGTCAACATAAAGCATCAATGAGGATTGTTTTGTTTTGTTCGTTTAAAAAACACGGCGGTGTGTGTTCACCGTGGTTATCGGGCAGTGGTTCACACCTCAATGAACACCGTTTATTAACGTCTACACGTCCTTGCTCTCCGGTCTGGTTTTAGGCATACAGTATGCACACCAAGCAGCGTTGTGTTCAAATAAATGCCCGAGTTTATTCGTTGTTCCCCCCGGTATTCGCACAATAACCCTCCACGGAAACACCGCGGTGGGCGGCAGTGTGTACCTGTTAAAAAAGTTGAGATTTGATTATCTTTCGGTGCTTGTTATGGGATTATGTTGATGCCGAATTTGCTATCGAACACGATGTACTCAATACCGACCTCGTATCGGGTCATAATGCCGGTGTACTTTTGCTGAGAGAAAGAAATAACGAATATCAGAATTTTCTCATCGAGTTTGGTGTCACACACCAAACGTTACGGAGCGTATCCGGGCTATGCTAACTGACGGTTGGCTGACTTGCTCATGTAACGATTGGCTCGCTTATATGGTTATCCATATTCCAGTTAGTCGCAGTACTGTTTATCGGAGGAGCGATAGATCTTTAGACAAGGGGCGCTCGGTTTTTGCAAAATGAGAACACACGGATCGCGCCTGCTCCACCATGTCAGCACACCCTGCTAGACTGCAGTTAATGTTCGCTAATTGTATACACGCAGTGGTAATGAATGACAGAAACACGGAAACACAATACCTTGATACTTTGCATCAATTTCTCGAAGCAGAGAAACATTTCTTTGTATGTCCAAAGGCAGGGACTCCACACATTCCAGATAATCCTCCACATAGTTGACCAGTTGTTGCGACTTGTCGGCATTTGGGTGGTGATGGCCTAACATCGTCTTTACGATGCATAGAGGCAAGAAAAGAATATGGAGGAAATGCGAAAATATATACTGTTAAAATCAAATGCTTAGCGACTTTGCAGCTTGTAGGGCAGTCCCAACAGCAGTTCACTTCAAACAAAACTCAGGCCACTGCGCATGCGGGAGTATTTTCCTTTTATGGTATTATACCGTTTCCTCTTATTTGTCGTCATCCAAGGCGGGCCCAATTGGGTTTGCGGCATCGGGATTGGCAGAGAGTGCCCTCATTATCATAACAGTTTTCCCGGGAAAATTAAACCAATGGGGCAATTGAAAACACAGAGCTGCCTAGTGTAGACGGAGACCTAATATAATGTTACCTCATGCTTTTGTTTCATATTAGGGCAGAACAGCAGCATAAGTGTTTTTTATTTTTTCATTATTTTATCATTTATCGAGCTTGTCAGAATTCAACATAAACCTGTTTTACTGCAATGTGTACACATTATTAATTTACTTTGACTTTGATATTTGGAGTTTGCAAACTACACAGTAGCCTTAATGGATGGATGGATGTTGTGTTTTTTTTTGTCACATTTATTTTATCACATGTATTTTTTCAAACTGACATTAAGAAACAGTGCAAAATGCATCCATTCACACTAGCATGCCAGGGTGGCAACCATTCCAAGCACTACCAAAGCAACAGCTAGACACTCGGTCACAAGGTTGAGGCGACAACAGGCCTCACTATGACAATACGCCTGCATATGTGAGATGAGCACATTAAGCAGTGTCACTGTGAACCACCTGCTAGTGTGTTTGAGTGTGTGTGTGTGTGGGTTTGGTAAATGACTTGTTTCCTCTTTCTGTGTCACATGATGTCAGGAAATGTCCTCGTGTTCTGTCTACTGCAACAGCAACCTTAAGCCTCGTCATATTATTACAGTACATGTTCTTGTCTACTGCCAACAGCACTAGTACATTCATTGTCCTACTTTAAGTGTCACTAGTACTGCCACTACTTCTACTACAACTACGATTACTATAACTGCTATGGCTGCTACTACTACCACTATATATGAAGCTACTACCACAACTATTATCATCAGCTCTATACAAAAAATACTTATTACTACTTCAACTACTGTAACTTTTACTATTATACTACTAATCTTTCTACCACTGTAAGAATTACTACCACTAGTATACTACTACAGTATAACTAATAGTGTCAGACCTACTAGAAACGATGCTACTTTTACACCACTCCTACTCCGATAACAAATACTACTACCTGAACTAAAGTATTCTATTCTAGGCCTAATACTATTGCTATAACTACCATGAGCACTGCTGCTAATACTACTGTAACTACTACTGCTGTTGCTATTCTGCCACCTTTACCACTCCTCATATACTCAGTGGTGGAGAGTAACTAAGCACATTGATCTGCACTTTAGTACAATTTTAAACTACTTGTACTTTACTGGAGTATTTCCATTTTATGCTACTTCATTTTTTTTACTCCACTACATTTTGGGGGCAAATATTGTACTGCCCTATATTTATTTGACATTTTTATTGATTCGTTACCTTACAGATTTATATCAATATGAAATATAAATCAACAAATACATTATGATATATTACTGTATAGGTTAAACTACCCGGCATAGTACATGCTAATACTTGTGTGCATTTTGAATGCAGACTTTTATTTGTAACAGACTATTTTTACTCAGTAGTATTGCTACTCAATGTAAAAGAGCTAAATACTTTCTCCACCACTGCATATACTACTTCTACTATTAGTACAATAACTACCCGTATTACTACTACAGTATAATTACCACTTTAACTACTACACTAGGCCTAAGACGACTAGATACGTACTTACACTACTACTACAACTACCATCACGACTGTGACGTTATGCTGGTACTAGCACTATTACACTACTTCTACTCTTGCTACGGACAGTACTGCTGACGGCTCTCGGCCTAGAGCTGCTGGTGCTATACGTGTTGTTCTTGCAGTGATGCATGTCGTCCTAAATGACACGGTAAAGAAATCACATGAACTAAGTCACGGAGCAGGTCTGATGAGCTCGTGCGGTCTTTCCAGTTCGACTCAGTTTAGGTTTCGTTTCGTTCTGGTGGAAAATAACACGTGACCTTTCGCTTCTCTTTTGGGCAGCGACTTCCCTCCCTGCTGGCGCGTAACTTTCGTTTCCTGAGTGGCCAAGTGTTATCAGTTCGCAAGTTGAAAAGATCCATTAGCACTTCAGTCAATACTAGCGCATCTGGTTAGTGCTTTCAAAATAAAAATACGATCGCGCGCTGCAGTGCCTCTTAAAAATACATGTCTAAAAGCTCATAACTCTTCAGCCCAGATTGTGGTAGTGATTTGGTTATTGTGATAAACCACCTCTGTTTATTATCGCCTTGGCTATTCTCGTACTCATGTAACACCACTAACTGGTTGAAGTTCCCTCTTGACCGAGGAGATATCTTGAAAACAAAAAGCAGGGTCTGAATTAAAAAAGGCATTGTGTTAAATATTAACTTGTTCTGAAAAACATATTGTAATTCATACATTCGTCAATTTGTTCATCATTGTCAAATTTGTTGTGGATCCCTAAATTTGCACTTTAATTAAAACATTAAGACTTTAAACCTCCTTAATCCACTCAGAAAACCACTGAATATATTACTATAAAGTATTTCACACCACCAACATACATCACATTCCTAAATATCACATTGATTTTTAAAAATATCTTATTTACAGATATTATTTATTGATTAAATTTGAAGAACGCTGGCATTCATAAAAACGACATCGCTTTTTATTTAAATATAAGTATTCAAAACGTTTCAAGAAAACGTTTCAAGTATTTTTCAGACTATTTGGCTGGCTTCCCCCTCGATCACCGACTGTACCTAATACAGTGTTTTTCTCTGACGCTTAAGGATACTTTTACTTTTTACACCAGCCTGTTCCGGTGACGTCGTGTTGCTGTCAGCTTGACGCGGCTGTTTATTTATCCGCGGAGACGCAGCGCTGTTGTCGCACATTGAGCTCTGGTCAGAAAAAGTGCAGAAGTGAACGAGGTACCGTCCGCCAGTCAGCACCTGTCACCATGATGAAGACGGCTGTTGTGTTCGCTCTCATAGTCTGCGGGGCTGTCTCAGGTAGGACTCCTCCAACTCTCTCACACTAAGTGCAAACACATGCGGGAGATTTATTATAGAAGTTTTTTTTAAGTGTTTTTTAATGCTGTACAAACCCCGTTTTTCTGAAATGTTGTGTAATGAAATTGAGTTGCTGCGCGTATTGACTTATGTCAAAACTTTGTCGTTCAAAATAATTGTATGCAACTTTTATGTTGGCCTTCATCAGGTTATCAGATGTGTTGTCTGTAGAAATGGACGTGCGGTGCGTTTATGACTTCCTGGATCGTTTAGGGAACAGAAGTTTCCGCAGTTTTTCGATGTGTTTCAGCTCTGAGTCACATGTCTGCTGGCAGAAGCGCGCTGTGGTTTTTTACAGGACAAGATGTCAACTTGTGTTGAAGCCCAAACTCATTATTAGCGTTACATTTAACATTTATCTATTTTAAATAGAATTCCTAAGTGCAATCAAGTCAAAACAATTACTTAGAAATACATAAATCATATCTAGAATTATGTTTTTAGAGATATTTATACTATGCATATGTGTGTTTCCTTTATTGGTTGTTTACTTAATGCTGATCCCTGACTGGAGGTCATAGTTTGTATCTACTGTTCATGGCTGCTATGAATCTATCTGGCTCAAGCTGAGCATGACCAGTAATATTACACTTTTAAAAGCCAACCACGTGTGTTCTATCTGAACCCTCGAATGGGACACTTCAATAAACACTGCCTGAACTTGCAGATAAGCTGTGCATCACAAAGTGTCATAAATGCGGAGTGCGGACTTGTGTCTTTAAATGTGGCGATACCAGTTGACCTTATCAAACGTGTGGCAGATGTCTGCTGATTTGACTGTTTGTTTAAAAGGAGTTAGCTGCTCACAGTTCAAAGATCAGCAGTTTTAGTCAACAAACATAAAAGCTGCACAATTCAGTATTTTTCATATTATTTTAAATAACTTTGTGTAATGTGAAAGGGTTCACTTGTATTAACAAATCTCCAGATAATTATCATCTAATTGAAGTTCCCCTCTGGGTTGTTAGCCTGTTATAGCTCATTGTTTTGATTTTACAGCCTGAATATTAGCATATCATCAGCTACATTTACAGCAGCAGCAGATAGCGGTTTTCAGTGGGTTTAATTAACCTACTAACAAGCAGAAAGACAAAGGTAGCGACTAGCTGGTGAAGAACACCGAGCAGCTAAAGAGACAAGTATGTTTCTCAGACGTTGATGGAGACCAAACCAAAGCTAAAAGGAGGACATTGGACACATATATCAGGTGGCACTAATCCAAATGAATGATAATGTTGCTCTAAACCTGCTAGGTTAACTGGTTAGCCATAACAACTTTTGTAAAGTCGACGATATGTTAGATGTTGTGTTTTCAGCTTGTTCTTGGTATGTATGAACCTTTGAATTCATTTGTTTCTCCCTCTGTCTTTCTGACTGAAGCACTGTCATTGGCTGAAGATGAAAATAATTCCGTTCCTGCAAGTGTGATCCCTGCGAAGGAGTTTAACGCCACGACTACCATCACGCCTACCACCATGCCTCCCCCCAAGACTACCACCAAGCCTACCCCTAAGCCTACCACCAAGCCTACCCCTAAGCCTACCACCACGCCTCCCCCCAAGACTACCACCAAGCCTACCCCTAAGCCTACCACCAAGCCTACCCCTAAGCCTACCACCACGCCTCCCCCTAAGCCTACCACCAAGCCTACCCCTAAGCCTACCACCACGCCTCCCCCCAAGACTACCACCAAGCCTACCCCTAAGCCTACCACCAAGCCTACCCCTAAGCCTACCACCAAGCCTACCCCTAAGCCTACCACCAAGCCTACCCCTCCCAAACCCACTCCCCCCACCAAGATGAATGTAGGAAACTACAATGTGACGACAGACAAAAAAGTGATTTGCCTGGTGGCTCAGATGGCGCTACAGATCCGACTGGTAACACCAAAGGTACATTTCCTCACTATAGCCGCAGCAAAGTTGGTTAAAAGAGCTCCCTAAATGTTTGAGCTGGTTCTTATCTTAACACTAAGGTGTTTATTAAACCATTTCAAAATGTATCAACATAGAAGTTTCTGCACGAGCCTCTGACTCAGCCTTCAGCAATGCAATTGTCATTATCCTGTTTTCAGGAATTGAAAACATGTTTGCGTAGCAAGTTTTAATTTCCTCATTGTGGCGCCTTTGATTGACTGTGGTCGATGTTATATTTGTGTCAAATGACATTTGCTAATTCTACATGACAAAGTAATATTGTTGTAGTACGATGTGGAACATTCTGATACAAAGCGGCCATCCAATCGTCTGGTTTGTCTCTTTATCCTTCAGGAAGAAGGAAACTTCATTGTTCAGCCAAATATGACGGCAGCAAATGGAGGTTGTCAAGGAACCAAGGCCAACCTTACCCTTGTCTTCAAAGAGGGCAGCATCACCTTCATGTTCAACAAGGTACTTCTAATGTCCTAGTTCTGTCACCAGTATTGAAGTATTATGTTGAGAGCTGCAGCTAGGGGAGGCCACGAGGTCAGTACCTTATCGTTGACCTGCTCACACTCACTTAGCATTCTACTAAAAATCTTGAGCAATTAAATACTGTGACATTAACACAATTAACCAATTCGGTATATTGATGAATAACAAATTGTTTGACTAGTAACTTCATAGGAACTGGAATCAGAGAGGATTTGATAAAAAGGGATGTTTAGCTGACAAGCCTGTTCTGGGAGCATGTGACAGGGAGTGCCTCACTCCACAGCGCTTGTGTGATTCATTTAGTGATTTCCTGAATAAAGAACATTTTAAAAACACCCATCACAGTTGCTCAGAGTTCTAGGTGGCATCTTCTAACGTCTAGTTCTGTCCGACCAACAATCCAAGACCCAGAGCTTTGCAGTTTACCACGATCTAAAAAAGATCAGGAGCTAGTGAAGATCTGCCTGTTGACTGATGTGCCCCCTGAGTTTGAATCCTTTCAAAACCTTTATTCAAACTATTTATGTTTAGCTGTTAACAATGGCAAGTAATACAAGTTATGAACAACTTTAAAAGTCATTTATTCGTTAGCATTCAGAGAAGTAGAGGTGTAACTAGTATGCCTGTGTAATAGCGCGTCCTTAGTCTGGTTTGGGTAACAATATTTCTTGTCATAAGAGTGTTGGGTACCCGGAGGCGCACGGCGGACAGCCAGGACGAGGCCGCCGCACTAGGTTTTCAGGTTCTGAATGGCGGACGCTTCCCGTTGGCGCCAGATGCGCGCCGCGAGCGCACCCCGCCATCAGGTCCGTAAATCCTCGGAACAGGCCGCAGGGCAACAACTCAGGGGTGGCGGGGGTAGAGGCGAGGCAACGCAATCCGCCCGAAAAGGCCCAGACTAGAGGTTTGAACGCCTCGGAGGGTTGGATCCCCCGCTCGGCCATAGACGAGACTTTTTACTAGTTTCTTCGTGGAGACAAAGGTACCGTTGGAAAAGCTGGTGTCGGTGACAACAGACGAGGCTCCCGCGATGACGGGCCGGCATGCAGGCTTCATTGCGCAATGCAAAGGTGACCCAGACTTCGCAAAATGTCTACATTACCACTGCATCATTCACCAGCAGGCGCTATGTGCAAAAGTAACCGGCTTTGATCATGTGATGATACAAAAATATCAGAGATGTGTTACCTCTGACTTTCAAATGTTGAGACAGATTAACAGAAATAAAAGTTGCATGTTTAAATATGTATGTGTAGCTATACCATCATTGTTGTGGAAATCATTCTTAATAATTATTGTGAGGAATAATTAACTGACATGTGATCAAACAGTCTCTTCACATATATTATTATTAATAAAAGGTGATCTGTGCAATTTTGTTATTCAGGAAGTTTGTATCAAATAAGTAGCCCTTCGTACTACTCAGTACCCTTGAAGTAGCTCAGTTTCAAAAAGGTTGGTGACCCCTGGTTTAGAGTAACTCAGAGTGGACTCAGGTTGTGCTTTCACTGAGTGTCTCTTGTCGCGCTGACATCCACTCGGACTGAAGGATGAACTTGTTCAGTTTTGGTGGTCAATGCTCAAGGTCACTGTGTAAGTCCAACCCATTCTTGTGAATGCGATCTCTCAGGAAAATCCTTCTATTTCCTGTTCCTTGGCTTTGTAGCTACTGACCTAGCTAGCCAGATGTTGGTGGGCTAGCTGGCAACGTTGTCCCACCTGCAGAAAGCTAGCACTACGTAGTAAAGCTCTCTCTGGTTGAACTGTAGAGTCCAATAATAGCCTGTCAGTATTCTCAATTCATTATTTGTTCATGAAAATCAAAACCAATATCTCACTTTTAATTACAGTGAGGATTTATGCTCCATGTAGCACCTTGAACGACCTCTTCCATTGGATACAACGTGTCCTATTTTCTTTCCTCAGAGCACGGATAACACCGTCTACGTTGATGCTCTGTCCTTCAACCTCTCCTACCCCTTAACCGCAGGAGGTAAGTTTGGAAATACTCCAGTCTCCAGATATGATGTGCTGCCACTATATTGATTCAACTTTAGACTAATTGGGTCACTACAATTGCAGGTGGGGGTTGTGCCACACTGTCAAATATTAACAAAGACAAGAACAACTTCCTTGTTTGTGTGTCTGTTCATAAGATAATCTGTGGAATTACTGTTAAGCATGTGATGCTGTTAACAACCAACCTACTTTCAATGCAATGCAGTGTAACATGTTTGGTTCCATATCTGCGTTTGTTGTTATGGGATCGTCATTGGGCTCTGGAAGCACCCGGACATTGTTATGTTTGTTGTTGCAGGCAAAACCCGGTACACTGCCAGCAACAAGTCAATGCATCTCTTCACTGCAAAGGTCGGACACTCCTACTCCTGCAAGAGTAAATCAGTCGACATGGGGAATGGACTGTACCTTGATGTCAATCAAGACAAGATGCAGGCCTTCAATCTGACCAAGGACAGCGGGTTTGGCACTCGTAAGTGTGTTTATGAAGACAAATGAGCGTGGGAGTATTTTGGCTCAATTAGAGCTTCTTATCAATACATTAAGCTGCTCCTTAGACGATGCTCTGCCATAGGGCAATATAAGAATACTCCAATACTAGAAGTAGAAGCCAAATGTATTTAAACTGTTGATACACGGAATGGCTCCTTTCATAAAGTAGCTGTTCTGTGCAGTTTAAATTAAAACAAGAGGTCTTCTTGTTACAAACTGATGATGTGTTTTCTATGTAAAAACTAAATCTGCAAAGTACATAGTAAATACAGCTCTAAGATCAAGACAGTGGAGTTAAAAGTACAATATTATAAAGAGGACAATAGGCTAGATGTAGTGGAGGAGGAGTAAAGAGTTGCCTGAAACAGAAGTACTTAAGTAAAGTACTAGTGGCATTAAAATGTACTGTTGTAAAGGTATTTAGTTACTTCCACCAATCCATAATCACAGTTAAATCACTTGAATGTAAGACAGTTGCATTTAGTGCTATCAGTGTACTAACACACCCAGTGGCTTTTATCAGCAGCCATCTGCAGGCCAGGCCTAGCTGCACCATCATGGTGACATGTTTGACGGCTGTAAATGATTGTGCACAGCTGCTCACATCATGTGCACAGCTGCTCACATCATGAAACAACTACACAAGATATTGTTTGTGTCTGTGCACACAAGTGAGTAGGCTTCTACTCTGGTAAGTGAGTGTATGGAAGTCTGTGGCTGACTATAATACAATCAAATTATTTAAATTCATTAATGTCAAGATGTCATTTTACAATTGGGTGGGCATGATGGATGACAAAATTCCAATTTTATTTAAAATTGTATGTTTAAAAATCCTCCGTGAACCGCCACCTTATCGTGGCTCCTCCGTGAACCGCCACCTTATCGTGGTGGAGGAGTTTGAGTGGCTCAGTGATCCTGGGAGCTATGTTGTCCGGGGCATTAGCCCCTGGTAGGGTCTCCCAAGGCAAACAGGTTTCAGGGGAGAGCCCAGACTAAGAGCGGTTCAAAACAACCCCTATGATAGTTAGCCCACGGACTACAGCCACCTCGCCCGGACCAGGGAAACCGGGGCACCCTCCCGGAGCCAGACCCAGGAGGGGAGCTCGTAGGCGAGCGTCTGGTGGCCGGGCCTTTGCCCATGGGGCCCGGTCGGGCTCAGCCCGAATAAACACCATGGAGCAGCCACCCTGTGGACCCACCACCCGCAGGGACAAGCATCGGGGTCGGGTGCTATGCAGACCGGGCGGCGGGTCGGGCGGGAGGCCCGGGCATGCCGATCGCCGGCGGCATAGACTAGCTCTAGGGACGTGGAACGTCACCTCGCTAGCGGGGAAAGAGCCGGAGCTGGTGCAGGAGGTGGAGCGATACCAGCTAGAAATAGTTGGACTCACCTCCACACACAGCGTTGGCTCTGGAACCAAGCTCCTGGAGAGGGGTTGGACTTTGTCCTTTTCCGGAGTTGCCCAGGGTGAGAGGCGCCGGGCGGGAGTGGGGATACTCACGAGCCCCCGGCTGAGCGCCGCTGTGTTGGAGTTCTCCCCGGAGAACGAGAGGGTCGCCTCCATGCGCCTTCGGGTTGCGGGGAGCAAGGCTCTGACTGTGGTTTGTGCTTATGCACCAAACAGCAGTTCAGAGTATCCGGCCTTCTTGGAGTCGGTGGGAGGGGTCCTGGAAAGGGCGCCGCCTACCGACTCCATAGTTCTCCTGGGGGACTTCAACGCTCACGTGGGCGATGACGGAGAAACCTGGCGGGGGGTGATTGGGAGGAACGGCTTGCCCGATCTGAACCCAAATGGTGTTTCGTTATTGGACTTCTGTGCTTGCCATGGTTTGGCCATAACGAACACTATGTTAGAACATAAGGTGGCTCATAAGTGTACCTGGTACCAGAACACCTTAGGCCGGAGATCAATGATCGACTTTGTAATCGTATCATTTGATTTGCGGCCGTATGTCTTGGACACTCGGGTGAAGAGAGGAGCAGAGCTGTCAACTGATCACCACCTGGTGGTGAGTTGGATCAGATGGCAGGGGAACCAGTTGGAAAGACCCGGCAAACCCAAACGTGTCGTGAGGGTGAACTGGGAACGTCTGGCGGAGGACCCTGTCCGGGAGGTCTTTAACTCCCACCTCCGGAAGAACTTCTCACACATCCCGAGGGAGGTTGGGGACACGGAATCCGAGTGGACCATGTTCAAAGCCTCTATTGTGGACGCGGCCGCTAGGAGCTGTGGCCGGAAGGTCATCGGTGCCTGTCGTGGTGGCAACCCGAGAACCCGGTGGTGGACACCAGAGGTGAGGGAAGCCGTCAAGCTGAAGAAGGAGACCTTCAAGGCCTGGTTGGCCCAGGGGTCTCCTGAAGCAGCTGACAGGTACCGGCAGGCCAGAAGGGCTGCAGCGGCGGTGGTCGCGAATGCTAAAACTCGGGCATGGGAGGAGTTCGGGGAGGCCATGGAGAAGGACTTTCGGTTGGCCTCAAGGAGGTTCTGGCAAACCATCCGACGGCTCAGGAAGGGAAAGCAGGGCTTACCCCAGGCTGTTCTCAGCAGGGGGGGGGAACTGCTAACCCGGACGGAGGACATCGTCGGGCGGTGGAAAGAGCACTTTGAGGAACTCCTAAACCCGACCAACATGTCCTCTGCAGAGGAGGCAGCGCCTGAGGACCTAGGGGGAGGCTCACTCATATCCCTGGCAGAGGTCGCCGAGGTAGTCAAAAAGCTCCTTGGTGGCAAGGCGCCGGGGGTGGATGAGATCCGCCCTGAGATGCTGAAGGCGCTGGACATGGTTGGGCTGTCCTGGCTGACACGCCTCTTCAATGTCGCATGGGGGTCGGGATCAGTGCCCATGGAATGCCAGACCGGGGTGGTGGTTCCCATCTTCAAAAAGGGGGACCGGAGAGTGTGCTCAAATTACCGGGGTATCACACTACTCAGCCTCCCGGGGAAGGCTTATGCCAGGGTGCTGGAAAGGAGGCTCCGACCGCTTGTCGAACCTCAGATTCAAGAGGAGCAGTGCGGATTCCGTCCCGGCCGTGGAACAGTGGACCAGCTCTTTACCCTCGCAAGACTACTGGAGGGGTTCTGGGAGTTTGCCCAACCAGTCTACATGTGCTTTGTGGACTTGGAGAAGGCTTTCGACCGGGTCCCTCGGGGGGTCTTGTGGGGGGTGCTGCGGGAGTATGGGGTGCCGGACCCGTTACAACGGGCGATCCGGTCTCTGTACGGCTGCAGTAGGAGCTGTGTCCGCATTCTCGGCAATAAGTCAGACACGTTCCCGGTGGGTGTTGGCCTCCGCCAGGGCTGCCCTTTGTCACCGGTCCTGTTTGTGATTTTCATGGACAGGATATCTAGGCGCAGCCTGGGGGCGGAGAACGTCAGTCTCGGGGGTCTCGGGATCGCTTCTCTGCTATTTGCAGATGATGTGGTCCTGTTAGCCTCCTCGGATTGTGACCTCCAGCGTTCACTGGGGCGGTTTGCAGCCGAGTGTGAAGCGGCGGGGATGAGAGTTAGCACCTCCAAATCTGAGGCCATGGTTCTCTGCCGGAAACCGGTGGATTGCTCCCTCCAGGTGGGGACGGAGTGCCTACCTCAAGCGAAGGAGTTCAAGTATCTCGGGGTCTTGTTCACGAGTGAGGGTAAGATGGAGCGGGAGATCGACAGACGGATCGGTGCAGCTGCAGCAGTAAAGCAGGCGCTGCACCGGACCGTCTTGGTGAAGAGGGAGCTGAGCCGGAAGGCAAAGCTCTCAATTTACCACTCGGTCTACGTTCCTACCCTCACCTATGGTCACGAACTCTGGGTCGTGACCGAAAGGACAAGGTCGCGGCTACAAGCGGCCGAAATGAGCTTCCTCCGTAGGGTGGCCGGGCTCAGCCTTAGAGATAGGGTAAGGAGCTCAGTCATCAGGAGGGAGCTTGGAGTAGAGCCGCTACTCCTTCACGTCGAAAGGAGTCAGCTGAGGTGGTTCGGGCATCTAATTAGGATGCCTCCTGGACGCCTCCCACTGGAGGTTTTCCAGGCACGTCCAACTGGGAAGAGACCCCGGGGAAGACCCAGAACACGCTGGAGAGATTACATCTCCCAGCTGGCCTGGGAACGCCTCGGGATCCCCCAGAATGAGCTGGAACATGTTGCCGGTGAGAGGGAGGTCTGGGTCGGCCTGCTTGACCTGCTGCCACCGCGACCCAACCCCGGATAAGCGGTGGAAAATGGATGGATGGATGTTTAAAAATGACTGTAAAACATTTAAATGTAACCCCATGGGAAGATAAAGTGTAAGCACAACACTACTAACGGATAAAGGCATTGTTTGTGAAATACACATGTCGTTTTTATTTTCTAATTGTTAGACAATGTGCAACCTAAACTTAAAAATGAAGAATGGTTTTTGTAGTAATTATCCATTTTTCAACACCCAAATGAAAATTTCATTAAAACATGTGTCACACTCCAGTCACACACAATGGGACTCTGCAATCGTATTAAATATGTGTTGTGTTATTTTCAGTCATAGACTGGAGTAAAGAAACCTCTGCTTGGTAAAACAGCACCTTTCGAATGGAGCTAATGATTGATGACTGCATTGATTTAATGACATTTGCACTTCTTAGTAAACACATTTAACAAATAATACCTTAACAACTGAAGATAAGTATTTAGAATTTTTTATTTGCGTGTTAATGATATTAGATGCAAGCAAGTTACCGTTGCATAGGGTTTGTAAATATGGGTTTTATTGTTGTCAGAAGTATGTCTGATGTGCGTGTGTGTGTGTGTGTGTTTTCCAGCTGATCTCTGTGCTGCTGACCAGCCTGACTACCGCGTTGCCATTGCGGTTGGAGTGACGTTGCTGGTGCTCATTGTCATCGTGGTGGTGGCCTACCTGCTGGGCCGCAGGAAGAGGGCCAATGGCTACCAGTCTCTGTGAAGGGAGCCGGGCAGCCTTCCATCCATTCAGAGGTCAATCCTATTAAAGTCCGAAGTGTGTGAGGCTGGGATCTCTCTCAGGGCTAAAGGGCCCTTCCACTAAAACCTAACGTGCCATTTCTTCTCTTCTTTTATGCCTTGGTGTTAAGCTGGTGTTAACAGTGCGCTAACTGGAGGTCCCAAGTATGGTGGCTAGAGTGTGCCACTGGAATAATTGTAGACCTTGAAAGTGATGATTATAATCATGCTATTATAAATGAATTCATGAAATTCATGAATTCAAAGTAAAATAAATAAATAAATAGATCACAACTCACAATGTTGAAGCAGGCACACTGCTTAACTTTAGATTGAATTATAGCACTAAAAACTACATGAACTCGTTGATTAAAGTTTAGAATATAAAACAAAAGAAACAAATGAATTGTCTGATGAAATGTGTCGCAGACATTTCAGCAACAATTCATTTCAATTATTTTTTAAAACTCAATTATGAATCCATTAATTAAAGAGAGAACATTCAATAAATGCAAATGTAATAACTACATTTAAAGTATCTTTGGTATTATCTGTCCAGTGGCACGCTCCATACATGTGAGCTCTTCCAATAGAAGACAACATCTTTTAGATTTAACATGCGGATGGCCAATCTTTATATGTGAGCATCTTTATGCAAATTACACAAAGTTACAAATGAGATGTCATCGGGCTGGACAGTCCTCTGAAAGGGCATTTCTATATTGGGACGCTGAAGATGATGATTACATTCTATACAGACTGACATCTTCCTAAATACTAACTACTAAAGTAAAAACTGACCAGAATGTCTGAGTTCAGAATCAGTACAGGTTATTGTCCTACAGACAGTTTATTAGTGTGTAGTACTGTGATTATGATCTCTGACACAAGACTTCCTTTTATCAGTCTAACCCGACATTATACAAGTAAGACAGATTCTATCTAAATGATGTTCAGCTTGTCGAAGGAAATACACCATAAAGTAAATGTTAGCTTTTCGTCATTGTTTTAAGATTATGTGGAAATATTTTAAAGAATCAAATATTGTGTCCTCTGTCTTCTACGGATTTTGTTTTTGAAAAGAAGGGAAGTTATCATATCCATAATGTTACAGCTGATTATACTGACTGTCGACATTATTGAATACCACGAAGGGAAAATGACAGAGATGTTAGTCGGGATTATTAAAAGCCAACAATAACTGCACTGATGCTGCTCCAACTCGATTGCCTTCGTCTCTGTCATACAATACGTAGCTGTAGATGCAGGGATGGACTGTCCATGTGGGTCAGTGATGGGTCTGCTCTGATCCTGATTAGACATCTCAGGAGTCCAGCTCCTCTCTCACCAGGTCTACTCTCAGACACTTTACTGCCTAAAAGGGAAAAAAGAGAAAAAAAGTCAAGTTTGAGATTTTGGGAAATATGCATATTAACTATTCTAGCTGTTGTTCGTCTTTATGCTAAGCTAACAGTCTCCCGGCTCTAGCTTCACATTTAATTGACAGATATCAGAGTGGTATAGAGCTTCCACCTCTCGACACCAAAAGCAAATAAGTGTCAAACTAGTCCTTTAGATATGCACCTAAGTGGATGTAACAAATAAACATGTTGTTAAGAAAACCGATGACCACCCGATGTCCATCTAGCATGATCAGAAGCTCTGGAGCTTCTGATCATGACACATGATCTATATGTTGCACTGATGAGGCAAATCAAATTGAATTGAATTGAAATTAAAAAATAGTCTTCATCAGCCCATCTTAAAAGCCAAAGTCTTAAAATGCTCATAAAACAGGTCATTACAAAATGCAAACATCTATAATTCAGTGACAACTGAGCAAACGCCATCTGCTGGTGAAGATCATGTGATATGATCGAAAGCTCCAGAACAGCTTCTAAATAAACCTTATGGTGAGATTGTTTTCTGAACTGCTTTCCAAGGTCAAAAAGGAACTTTGAACCTCAAATCTGATGCTGCATTCAGGCGCCTATCGGAGATAGAATTGCAATTGGGGTACACAAAGTAAAATGATTAAAAAATCACATTATAAAGAGATAGTGGTATTTAACCGGGCAGGTCCTTTCAGTTTTATGTACTCAGGTTTTGATATATTCGCTTCTAAAACTTCTGCCACCACTTTAATAGAATGAAGGTGAATGTAATTGCATTGATGCTCAAACCGTTGGAAGATGGAATAGTATTGGTATAGTATAGTAATGGTATTTCTAGAATCCATGTTCCGGTCACCCTGTGTGATCCATCTGTCATGACATAATCTGTCATTGTCATCCATCTGTATCTGTCAGCAAAAGTGTCAATTTCTTTAAATAAAAAAAGAAATGAGCTCCTGTGAGACTATTTGTAGAGTACCCCGTGTAACCAGGATATTGTGCCAGAAATCACCAGCTGCTGGTACATGTTTCAGGTTTGGAAGCAGAAATCTCAAAGACAGATATCTCAAAACCTGAACAAACCAAATCTATGTGTCTGTCAGATACCACTAGAGGCAAGTGAGAAAGATTTTGTACATCAGGTGACGCTAGTGATCAGAAACGAGGGACCTCTCTGTATGAGTTTCTCCTGTTGTTGACTTCCTGTGCCAATAAAGACTGATATATTTCTAAGTGTGTGTGTGTGATGGAGCCGATCCCAGCTGACATTGGGCGAAGCCATTGTATACCCTGGACAGATTGCCAGACTATCACAGGTCATATGCAAATATATGTGTATAATATATATAATTATATATTTTTGTATGGCCCAAAATCACAAATGTGCCTCAGAGGGCTTTATATATATATATATATATATATATATATATATATATATATATATAT